CAAGTCATGATGCTCCTCGACACACGAGCCTAAACTGCATGTTGCTACACTCCTGGCCCGCAAAAGTATAAACTGTGTACGACCCCAAAAAAAAAGTCTGCTAGGTTGAAAATCTCGAAAGAAGCGACCTAGGCAAAAGTTAGGACATATAAAAAAAAGTCCGCTAGGTTGAAAACTTCGAAAGAGGCGGCCTAGGCAAAAGTTAGGACATAAAAAAATCACCCATTCTGAACTACGGAATTACTTGATCCTCTTCACCGAGGTACGTAGGCAGCTTAGAGTTTCATTCTAAGTTCAGTCGCACAAGTTCAAAAGATACATATTTCCCTAGTTGTTGTCCGAGTGAAGTATAGAGGAATGCAAAATCAAGCCGAAATGTCATCCTCTTGTGAAACTTTGATCTTATTTGATTTAAAAGGGGCAACCCTCCATGGTAAATTGATATCTTCAAGTCCGTCAGTACTCAAGCTGAAGTCCCCAAGTTGAAATCTTCAACTCCGTCGGTCTTCAAGTTGAAGTCTTCAAATCCGCCGATCTTCAAGTTGAAATATTTAGGCCCTCCAAGTTTCAGAGTTGAAGTATTCAAGTTCGTCGGTCTTCAAGTTGAAGTCTTCAAATCCGCCGATCTTCAAGTTGAAATATTTAACCCCCCAAGTTGAAGTCTTCAAGTTCGTCGGTCTTCAAGTTTTAGTCTTCAAATTCGCCGATCTTAAAGTTGAATTGTTTAAGCCCTCTGAATCTTCGAGTTGAAGTCTGCAAAGTTCGCCAAATCTTCAAAGTTTTCCAAGTGTTCAAGTAAATGTCATCTTCAAGTTGAAGCTTTATAACTTTCCAATCTTAAGGTGGACATATAAGTCCCTTTGCACCTTAAGTTGGCCTCTTCGTGGGTTTGTCCTTAAAAGGGACTATAACTTTCCAATCTTAAGGTGGACATATAAGTCCCTTTGCACCTTAAGTTGGCCTCTTCGTGGGTTTGTCCTTAAAAGGGACTATAACTTTCCAATCTTAAGGTGGACATATGAGTCCGTTTGCACCTTAAGTTGGCCTCTCCAAGAATGGGGCCACATTGAGAGTAATCTCTCCAAGAATCGGGCCACATTGAGAGTAATCTCTCCAAGAATCGGGCCATTTTGAGAGTAATCTCTCCAAGAATTGGGCCATATTGAGAGTAATCTCTCCAAGAATCGGACAAGGATGAATACTCATCCCCTCACACCCCAAGATTATCTTCTTCATGCGTGGATCATCTTATTGAACAGGAACATATCTTTCTTGTTTGACTTACAAAAAAAATGACAAAAGAAGAAAAACACAAGAAAAGAAGAAGAAATTACCTTAGCGTCAATGCTTCCGAGTCCGCAAAACTAGACTCAATATGGCTTGCAAATACTGCGAATTGATGCTAAACAAATACGACGTATGGTTTATATAGATACCAAAAGGTGGCTGTCAAATAGTGATTTCTCGATGTGGGATCTGTGCTAAGGCGGCAAATACAGTTTGTCTCCAGCATGGATTAGGCGGGAGTGGCAGACTTCAATAAGGAATCAAATAGCTTCTTTGCTTGAATGTTTAAACTACGTAAAGGCTGTGGAGGAAAAAGCAGTCGTCGACGCGTCCAAAGCTAATATGGATACTATTCACGATTCTATTCATATTAAGTTGCTCAGGTCTTTGCAAATGAAAGCCTACATAGGGACCAGGTGTAATGTTAAAATAATATATTTTTTTTGGTCTTTGGTCACTTGACCTTTGATTACGTGAAACATGTGAATCAAAGTTTCCATGAATTATTTTGTCTTATGTGAGCTTATCTCTGATTTTGCTATTTGCTCACATGAATTAGTTGATTTAAATCAAGGTCTTGGCATGGATTATACACTAAAAGGGGGAAAATGGTTTAATTTGGAAAGCTTGAAAATTTATAGCTTTTCATCTGTTGACAAGCAAAGTGCGAGTCGCTCAATCGTCCAAGCACAGTACTTCAAGCCTCGTCTCTAATATGTTGATATTTTAACAAGTCTTGAAGTAGGGGGTATTTGTAGGCATATAAATTTTATTGGAATTAAATCCGTAAAATAATTTGGACTATATTTTAAATTCAAGATATATTGGTCCAAATAAATATTATGGGCTAATATATAAATGAATTAATTATACAAGTCCAATATATATGGATTAAATAAATAAGTCTTAATCCATTGGGCTTAAAGACTTAATTGGGCTAAAGTAATGAGCCCACTTCATTAAACCCAAGATGACATCTTCCTAGAGGCCCAGTTTGGTGCCACGCGTGAAATGACGTGGCACGCCAAGTCAAACGGAAGAGCCAATAGGATCATGCCACGTATCAAAATGACAAGGCATGCCAAGTCACACTAAAAGACCAATGAAATCGCACCACGTGTGCAAGTGACATGTTCTAGCCAATCGAATGCGGCCATATCACACTTCAATTTGATTGGTCGAAAAAAGTTTGTTCTTATCATAACTCTTCCTTTCAACAACTATAAATAGGGGTCTTCATAACTCAGAAAAGATACCAGAAGTTATAACAAGAAGCAAGAAAGAGCTCGTGGATCAAACGCTGCAAATTTCTCCACAAGTGTCAAGCTTCAAGTTCAAGTTCAAGAAATCAAGTTCAAGTTCAAGAACAAAGAACAAATCAAGGTCAAGTTCAAGTTCAAGAACAAGATCATCGTTTGTGGCAACAAATACATATTCAAGATCAAGCTCAAAGACCCTTGAATTTATTTACTATAGAAAAGTAGAATCAGAGGATTCATAGAGATTGTAACACTCAAATATTCGAAATAAAATACTACGATTGTTGCGATATTTTTTCGGTCCTGATTTTATTTTTTCGACATAAATTTATTGTCTACAATATTTACTCCCAAATATTTGGCATTACCATAACTTTAGGAGCCGACTTCCTAGTACTCATTAATTAATGGTTTTTCATTCAAATCCTTTCTGAACGTGGAAGGAAAGAGTAACCTATTAAAGAAGTGGAGGTTTTCTTCAGGACACTTGATTTGGACTTATGTGAGAGAGAATAGAATTAAATCAATTGATATTGCTCCTGGTTTCTTCCAAATTCATTCAATTCATCCAAATCAAATTCAACCAATTGATATTGTTGAGTGCTCGCACAAAATCTTATACTGGTAATTTAAAAAATTAAGAAGCTATAGGTAAGCAAATAATATTACACTATATTAAAATTTTAGGCTGACTTACCCCACAACCCCCCAATAGTTGACTCGAATTTGCTTAATTGGCTAAGAGTTAATGAGAGGGTAAGTTGATAATTGACCAAANGGTTCCACCAGAGAGTTGGTACTAGCAGCCACAATGAATTCTTCCTCTGATATTCTTATATATATATATATATATATATATATATATATATACTAGTTGCCTGCAACCCGTGCTCTGCACGGGCCCAACGCTACCACAAATTCCAACACATTTTTTCAATAAGTAATCAAAGCTTAATTAACACCAAGTAGGTGCTGCTACATGTTTTGAGTTACAAAAGATACAAAACGTAGCAAAATAATAGATGCAGCAACATACAACAATTTCATATTGATGGTTCCGCAATTCATCAGTTGTTATTCCTTTAAGATTGTCCAAAATATATAGAGTATGCAGACAACTACAGTGTTCCAAACGGCTTATGTTTCTTTCGCATCATCCTTCCTAGCTAGTTGCTGGTAGCACCTCTTGGGTTGGATAGTTTGATTTGAGTCTAGCTAAGGTATTCAGCAAAGAGTAATGGAAAATTGTTAAGGTAACAGAACTTTTCTGATCATTGCACCTGAGAAATTGATGGAAGTCCATCTTCGAACATCTCAAATCATTTTCCTTTTGAACTCTCAAATTAGCTGCCACTGCAAATGCTTTAGGATGATTAGAGTTAGAAGATAAACAACAAAAAGTATGAACCGAAAAGAAGACCCAAAAAGGAGAGTAAAAGTGCGTGTGGGTGTGTGTCATAAGTAACATCTAAAGTTTCTTTCAGTCACTACCTTGGAATAATCTATTCAACCCTCGCCAGTGAAACTATCCTGATATGGACCCCCTTGTAACATAAACATATAATGGAGAAATTTATTGTGCTACCGTCTCATTCTATTAGCATGGAAGTATCAAGCACCATATACCATCTTTCTCCAATTATCCTTCATACTTTACAGGAAAGGCAACCTCTTCCTTGGAGTTACCCAGCCAGTTAGATATTTATTATGTGAGTTTCGAGAAGACTCATAGCAATCTAGGAATACAACAACAACAACAACGACCCAGTATAATCCCACAACAACAATCTAGGAATACATATGTTTAAAATCAATTATTTATGCCTCTTTTACTAATGCACGGAGAAATTTTCTTTAGAGAAAGAGATATTGCTCAGCATTATATTCTAGCGTAAAAATCTCTGTTAGCGTGTGAAAATATTATTGTCAGTTGATAAAAAAATTGGAGCTTTGTTCTATGTACCCTTTTTTATGAAGCATTTCATTGCTATTTGGTAATTTCCCCATGACTGTTGCTTACTTCAGAATACTACATTAAAAAAATTCTATACCAGTCTAATCATAAACTATAAAGAGAATATACTGTTTTAATTGAAATAACTCACTACTGTATACAGCCACGACTTATCTCTTTGTATGTTTCTACAGATTAGCATGTACAAAATATAATATTATGATGCAATGAAAGAATGATATAGACTAACTTGTGCGGCAACTTCAAATGCATTTAATTATTTGCCTAATTTGAAGCAAGTACCATAACCATGTTAGGATTAACTGGTTCGAGTGCAAGGGATGAAAGAATAAAGCACGTTAAAGCTAATATGTCTCATTAATCAGTAAAAACATAATGATTTATGCTTACTTGATAAAAAAAAGGGCAGGATGATTTATCATTAACAGAAGCAAAGGGAAATGAGAAAAAATTTCCTTTTATTTAGCCAAGCTTCAAACTGTGTTTTACCAAGTTCAATCAATCTTAAACAACTGATAACACACAAATATGTGTTCCTTCTAAAGCAAATGAGGATTGCAGGTGAGCAGTACCTGGTACTGATTAATAAAATGACAATGAAGAATAGATAGCTACCAAAGATGAGAATTTTGTGGAAAGTCTTCTCTATATTACTAAACATAATAAATGATTTGTTGTTTGTTTCTTGATCTTCACCAAAAAAATAGCATTTTGATGCAAAAATAGCAATTATGAAGCAAATTCATCTAAATTAAATTTGAACTCACTCAAAAACCACACCAGATAGCTGAGATAAAAATAGACAGTACAAAAAAAGGCAAAGGTAAACATCTATTGTTTAAGGTGTCACCTCTTCTCTGGGTTCGCCCGTACCAGACAATCATTATGCAATTTTATCCATACAAAATGAAATGACATTGAAGGAAACCTCACATTTACATTTAAGCTTTCGCTGTTGATTGTGGAGATGGTTCTTGAGGTGAGAAGCCTATAACAACAGTTGTCATTTTTATTTGTCATGTTCTGTTGGTAGGCAGAATTTTGTACAGTCTGAATATTTCATCAACAATATATGAATCATTAATAAGTGCAAGTTTTAGAAGACTATTAGAAAAGGGCAGTCTAACTATAATACAAATATAGATCTATGGTGAATAGTGCTATGTATTGTCAATATAACACCTATGTAAAATACCACTGAAGGTTCTTGTTGATATACAGGTGTCGATGATAAAGTAGTCTTTCTTAAGGAAAAAAAAATATTCAAATAGTTCATAATTTTGTTCACAGCCAGCGAAGAAGATACACATAAAAATGAAAAAAAGTTAGTAAATTAGTCAGAATCCTGTTAGTACTAGATGAATAGCAAGACTAACAATCCAAGTGACTTTTCCCATTTGATTTTGGTTTAAAAAGGAGGGTCATGTGACTTGCTTAAAACATTATAAAGCACCTCATAAAGAAAGATTCCTAGGCGAAAAATTCATATATTGTCCTTTCCTATTGGTGCAGGAGCAAGTGAGAATGTGGAGTATATGTAATGACATGCACCTTAATTTCAATAGGAAATTTACAATCTAACAACATAATTTTGCAGGGATTTCACATAAACACACCATGAAAATTAGTAATTTTAACACAATAACAAAATAAATAGCTTACCTTATATAATTCAAGTACCAATTATTGTTTCAAAAAGGATCATCCCAGCTTATTGCAAAGATCTACTTCATACTTGATACGACTTTTTCAACACAATCCAGCTTCATCAGTGAACATCTTGTCATGCAAATCAAGCTTCATTAAGTTGGTGCATACTTCAACTGCTTGTGAAAGAGAGTATACACCTTACAATCATTGTAGATGAAACCTTAAGTCCTCAAATATTGGAGAGGGCTTCATAAGTTCAGAGAAAGCAACAACACTCTTATCTCCTCTCATGTTATTGTAAAACTGAAGGACCTGCAGTTTGCAAGTTGAGGGAATTAGTTGGCACTTTGCACGCTGCATGTGCTATAACCAAACCAAATATTATACCTCTTTTTGATTTTGTACGGATATTTCACCCTATTTATCTTAGGGTATGCCTTTCGCTTTACATTAACTTGGGAATACACATAAAATTGTAATTAACATTGTTATATCCAACTAAGCACCATGAAAGTTTGTATAGAAAGTGTAAAGCTAAAAGTAAATAAAATACAGTTATTTCATTGCTTAAACAAAAGGTAGAAACTAATAAGTGAAAGTAGCACCAACAGTTGCAACATCAGTAGTACAACATTACACTCTCCTTCTGCATGCATAAATAAGATTTTGATCTACTGATGTTCACGTCTTCTCCAGCAAACAACATGAAACAAAAGTGAGCGGATGTGCAATCACAGTCTCAAACGAAAAGGTGGAAACTCTCACTGTGTCTTTTTCTTATCCACCCCAGCAACTTAAGCATCAGTCAAGAAAGAATCGGCTGGGTTTCTTCGCAATGCTGATTAATAAATCAATTTATAATTCTATAATAAATGGATCACATATAGTGAGCCGAACATAAATAAATAAAAAGTTATTCTTCAAGTAGATCTAGGAGAACAATCAACATAAACCACAAATCATATAGCCTTACATACATCAATATAACATACTATTAAGTCTTCCTTCCATTGTCTCATAACTATTCATGTGCTATTAGTTCTTTCCGCATCTTGATATAGGCCTGTTTGATTTCATAATGCCAAAGCAGGGGATCTACAGTCCCATATAGGCATAAAGCACCTAAATTCATAATGATCAAACAACTTGTACTCCTTCAAAATTGTAAGTCTATTATTTGGTCCTATAATATATAGACTGAACAAATAGAATAAACTTTGTATGTTCAATACAAATAATGAAAAATAAGGCAACTAAAAAAAATCAATTAAAACAATCTTAATAGCAGAAGTGTTCTCATGTGGGAGTTTCTTATTGCCACTTAAAAGAGCTCAATTAACATAGCTACATTCAACCCAAAAAAAGTTTATAACTACAATCTAGGTTCCATCAAAAGTTTTACAGGAAGTAAGAAGCTGAAATATATCTTGTTGTTTCATCACTCCTACAAAGGTAGATACTATCAACTTACAGTAGCAAGAACATTGGCAACATAAGTTGAACAGAAATGGCACTTCTCTTTTGCTGCAGAAATTTAATCTTGAATGATATTATTTTCCTCTTCTTCAACAAACAATAGGAAATTTAATCGGGTAGCTGCACTTAAAGCCTCAACAGAAAAGTTGAAAATTCCCATTTGCATGATGGTTGTAAAGTTTGTGGCGTACAGTGAAGAGGAAGTCAAGTCTTTATGGGGTAACAATGTCGATGAATTCTGCTAGTGTATGTTATTCCTCTTTTGGCCTTTTAGGTAAAGATATCCATAAATCAAGAGAGGCTGCAATCTTGTATATCTTACCAAAAGAGCTTTCATGAAGTAGTTTGAGTCCATTTACTTTCAAGTTATTTTCAACACATAACACTAACAGTTACTTGCTTAAGTTACCTAATTACCAACATTAGAGAAATAGAAGGAAAAAAAATATTCATAAGCACGCAAGAAGAAGATATGAACTGGACATGATGAAAGTAAAACCAAATTGACGCCTACTTTAAGCCAAAAGAAAATCAAAAGAAACATTTTTGTAAGGTCATTATCCTGGAACCTTACAGTACTATTAAAATTGAAATACAATTAATCAAAACCATGATAATCAATGTGAAAAATTGAAATAACCCAAGATCTTAATAGTTTTTTTAGGAAGTAAAAAATTCCTCCATTACCTCTTTATATGAGTAGCCCACATATCACTATGAAGCAGGTTCTTTGCAGCCTTCACATGTTTTCTCCTGTACTCCAGAAAACCCTATGTGCCTTTCAGTTGTTTGGTCAAATTGAATTCTTAAAACACAAATTCAAATCTTACATTAAAATAAAAAAATTACTTATATGCAACAGCTAATAATAAACATAGAGAAAGAACCGTGGACTGGAGCTCGCAGTTTTCCATGAATGAAAAGGAAAAAAAAACAGCAAAAGGAAGAATAGGGAAAATCCATAGAAGAAGAAGGAAAGCAGGAAAATAAAGAGTAAAATTAGAAGCACTTAAAGTGACAGCAAAATGATGTAGGAACCATGGAAGTGAAAGACGTGTCCCCACCAAAACATAAAGAAACCAACTACTACGTGTCAAGGAAATTGAAGAGAATGCAACGGCGACCAAAATATAAAAAGTGTTATAAATATATTATATTATGGATGTTTATTTAGTACTCCGTTGTAAATAATTTTCCTGAAAAAGCTTATCCATATGGGACTCCACCGTAAATATATTTATCTATTTAGTACTCTATTGGAAATAAACTTCCTGAAGAAGCTTATCACTTCGGTACCCGGTTATGGATAAACATTACCCTAGGTAGAAGATTATCCATACCGAGTATAATAAGCTTATCCATTCAGTACTCTGTTATGGATAAACATTGTTCCCAGTAGAAGATTATCCATATCTGGTATAGTAGCAGCTTACACAACAGCTTGCGTAGCAGCTTACACAACAGCTTGTAATAGCAGCTTACACAACAGCTTGTAGTAGCAGCTTACACAGCAGCTTGCGTAGCAGCTTACACA